CTCACAGTTTCTCTGTAGTTTTCTGTCAAATCACGAACTTGGATATTTCGCTACCGTATACCATATTAAAAACTCGAACACATGTTATGAAATCTTGAACACATGATCGTATTAGTGCTGAGCGCTGACTTAAGATCTGAGCGCTTACTACCTCTACTATTTTTGAGTAAGCCAAAAATTTTCTATTGGTCACTTCTGAAGCCAGGATCTCAGCTTCAAATTGAGTCATATCTATCAAATAATCTGATAACTGGGTTTATAAAGAAATGAAAAGCAACCTACACGCTTCTATCAAGTCGATGGCGAAAAAGATATCGAAGTACAGATGAATAACAAAAAAGACAAACAACAAATGCAGGCAATACAAACCAAAACGCTATAATATTTGCTTCCTGAAATACATCATCGATCGCTCAGATAAATTGAAAATTGTTTCATGACAGATGGAAATTATTTATACTCTTTTTTTTTGGAAAAATCCACCGATCACCGGATGGAATAGCTAGCCGACAACGGTCAACAGTTCATCAGAACACGGAGATTCTTTCCCTGCAAACCAATCCACTTACAGTGACCAGGACAGAAGGTGCCGCGACGTCCATGGCTATAGGGTCATTGAAATGTTGCAAATCGCGACCAACAACTGGTAAGACATATGCGAAAGGGAATATCCAATGCACAATCACTAATATCCATCGATAACCCGAGTTTGTCCACTGAAAAGAAAACGAAAATGGTCGATTTGCAAACTTTGTATTTTTAACTCAACAGTAGAGTTTACAAATAGATTTACTATCAGACTTGCACTACTCCTCTTATTACTCCTCTTGACTTCCTACCGAACTTGCTACTTTCCATGCTTTGAGAGGGGCCCTTGAAGACGAGACTCCTACCTATCAATCGGTCCCGGAAGCAGGAAGGTATGGAAAGCTTGGTGGCTTGGGCGAGTATCGATCCGTGATTGATCTCAGGTCCCTGATGGGTGACAGCAGGCCATTGCCACTATATCTTTGTACTTGGTAGACTAAACAGCAAATAACTGCTGATACCAACCAGTGGTCGAGGACCTTGTCATATGCAGTTGATAGGGGTGGGAGTCTCGATAAAGTCTGAAACTTTGTACCTATCTCAACTTCTATGCTGTCAATATTTGAACCGGTCGGTTCACTTATGCCGAACAACGGGTGACTGCACAGGGTACCAATTTTTACCCAACCTAAGCTTACATATTGCTACTTATTTGCTGCTATCCATTACCGGACTCTAGGCTACAAACCCAAATGTTCATTTTTATCTCCTAATTTTGCCGAAGAAGTCAGTAGGCATGAACAAAAGTCACAAGCTTGTCGCTTTTGAAGAAACCATCATTATCTCTTCAATTTCGACGCGCCGTACCTGCTCAATGCATGATCCATTTGCACACATTGTTAAATATCGTTGAACAGTAATTAGT